GGACATTGTTTCATTCTGCTGTGCATGGGGTCGCTATGAGTTGATTCCAACTCAATGGCACCTGACAACAACAACAACACAATACCTCTACCCAGAAAGGACAAAGAACCCAATTAACAATTGGGCATAATACATGAGCAGACACTTCACCAAAGAAGACATTCAGGCAGCCAACAAACATATGAAGAAATATTCACAATCATTAGCCAATTTGTTACTGTTGTTAAGTGACATGGAGTGAATTCTGACTCATAATGACCCTGTACAGGGTTTCTAAGCAGTAAGTGTTGAGTTTGAACCACTGATTTTGTGGTTCAAACTGACCTTGTGGTCTAGTACTTTATCCCGGAGATATGGAGATCAAACCAACAAAGAGATATCATTTTACACCAGCATTAACAGAAAAGTTAAAAATAACAGCAAAAGAAAACAACACATGCTGTGAGTTTGTGGAGACTAACTCTCATATAATGCTGGTGGGAATGTCAACAGATTCACCCACTGTGGATAAAGGAGTGGTGCTTCCGTAGAATGACTTTGATAGAAATGCAATATGAACCAGCAATCGGTCTATTGGTATGTATTCACAAGAAATAAGAGAGCCAGAACAGCAGTAGATACATGCACACAGATTTTCATCTCAGCACTAGTCACAACAGCAAGAAGATGGAGACAGCTTAAATGCCCATCAATGGAAGAATACATAAGCTTTTACAGAGATATAAAATTGAATACTATGCAAAACTGAAGAATAACAATGTATCTGCAAAATACCTTGTAATATGGATTAACCTAGAAGGCAGTATGCAAAGTGAAAAAATTCAATTACAAAAGGACAAATATTGTAGTGGTTATGAATCGGGCTGTTAACCTCGGGGTCAGCAGTTCAAATTACCAGCTGTTCCACAGGAGAAAGATGAGGGTTTCTGCTCCTGTAAAGATTTGCAGCCTTGGAAAACGTGTACAGGGGTACCATGATTTGGAACTGAATCCAAGGCACATAACAACAACTAGTGTAAAAGCTCAAGAAAAGATTTACATACTAAAAGAAACATATTTGATGGCTATTATGAGTTAGTGGGAAGGCACATAATTCACTGGTTAGAGGGTAGACACATGTTAACTCTGATGACAGGAACGGCAGTATAGAGGAAGATGAAAGTTGGCTAAAGAATGATGAAAGCAGATGAAGATACAGGGAGTTATGCAAGGCTAAACAGGATAAAGGTAAATAGCCTTGGAACAACACTGTTCTGTGTGTAAATACATGGACAGAAACACAGGCTGAATAGGTATTGGAGCAAGAGTGGCATATATATTCATTCATATATTAGACTTTGAAAGAGGATATTTGTACTTGGATAACCATAAGGAGGAAGCAGGACAGGTGTAGTTCCATGAGGGGATTGGAATTGTTGAGATGAAACAAAGTGTATGATTCATTGAGTATAAAATTAATGGTCTTGTCTGTAACTCTTCATTCCATTCACAATAAAACATTTGTTAAAAAAATTAGGGGTCAAGATAAATAATTTTTCAGATGTTCCTCTCACAGTATGCTTGACAGACTGTTTTGGGCATGCAAGTCTCTTACCTCTAGTATTCCTGTTTTAAAAATTTAAACCAGCAGATAATTAAAACCATTTTTACTGATCAAACTCTTACAGAATGTCTGCTTTCAGAACTCTCACACACACTTACAGCGTTGTTAATATATGTTAATTAAAAAAAAAAAAAAAATGTTTCCCTAATGCTATATTGAAAGAAAATAACTTTTCCTCTAAATACCTCAGAATGAGAACATTTCTCTGAATGTGATTAAGATCATTATTACTCTAATTTGTAATTATGTTATCTGAGACACTAGTCCAAGGTCCTTAAAATCAAGCATCTGTTAGATTTTAGATAATTGATGTTGCTCTAGTGTGATGCTGTTGGATAAGCACTTGACTGTTAACTGCAAACTCAGTGGCTCAAAGCCTTTAGCTGCTCCCAGAAATTCTATACAGAGTCAGAATTGAAGCGATGGCACTTAACAACTATGACAACAATGAGTCAGTAACTCAGCATCCTCCAGTCTCAAAGGGAAAGGCTTACATAGGTCTGGTTTCTACTCTCTAGATGAATGCAGTGCCTGTCTTTGCTGCATCTCAGCCATTAGCATATATAGGTCCTAGATAGCATACTGAAAGAGAGTTTAGTGATGCTAATGCTTTGTGGTTTCAGAGCTGCCTTAAAGAGACCTCCGTGCTTGGTGAAGGAGCTGCCAGGAAAAGAGGTTGGATATAGAGTGGGGAGGATGGGGCTGCATTTCATGATGTACATACAGTTACATACAGTCATTTCTAACATACTTTTTAGCACAAAGAAAATAAAGAACTTTTCCTTGCTGACTTGAGTTAGGCTTAATTAAGCATATATAGCCATGCTTAAAAGAACTCTGGTAGCATAGTGGTTTCGAATAGGGCTGCTAATTTCACGGTCAGCCGTTTGAAACTACGAGCTGTTCTGCGGGAGTAAGATCAGACTTCCTGGTACCATGAAGATATACAGCCTCAGAAACCCTGTATATGAGTCACTATAAGTAGGAACCAGCTCTATGGCACATGATAAATACAACACCCCATGCTTAATTAGGTTTAATGAAACATTGTGATGCCTTGGACAAGGTATATGTTTTGCCTCAGAAAAATCACTGAGATCCTTTCCTCTTCCACGCTCAAATGACCAAAAGGGAAATGAAATCAACAAATGGACTTCTTGACAAAGACCTTACTGTTGACAAAGACCTATACCTTGTTGATTTGCATAGCACTCCCTCAGAAACCACAAACCTCTCAGGAGTTTCCTTTATGGGTCACTCATTAGAGGAGACAGTGCTTAGCCCAGGGGAGTGTTCAGCTTTCATTATGGGTTTTCAAGTCAACATTGTCACCTTCTTGCTGCTCAGTGTCACAGGTAAGAAAGAGAAAAAAAAACTTTAAAATCATAACACTCTTTCTCATGAAATTTGATTCTAAACTAGGTGGTTGTTTGTTTTTTTTTCTAAAAATTAAGTTATAAACTAAATCTATATAAGTTATTAAATGTTTTTTATTCCTATTTCTGTTAACTTATGTTGCTGTTCACCTTTCTTGTATGTTCACAGGATCCAGTGGAGATATTGTGCTGACCCAGTCTCCGGCTTCCATGGCATTTTCCCCAGGAGAGACAGTCATCATCAGCTGCAAGGCCAGCTCAACTGTAAGCACTTACACTGGTACCAACAGAAGCCAGGAGCCAGTCCAAAGCTCCTTATTTATGAAACATCCAAGCTGGCCTCTGGGATCCCTGCTTGGGTCAGTGGCAGTGGCTCGGGGACAGATTTCTCTCTGACCATCAGCAGCATCCAGGCAGAAGATGCTGTAAGCTATCACTGTCAACAGTGGTGCAGCTCTGAACCCACAGTGTTAGAGACTGGAACAAAAACCTCCTACCTCTCAGGGCACAGCTGCCTCCCTTTCAGAGGCTGTGAGAGTCATAGACATGGTTTTCTGTATCTGAAAAGATCTCACAGAACCTCTCTTGGGGTGCCTGAGTTTACAAGATGTTGTTGTTAAGTGCCTTCGAGTCGGAGTCGACCCATAGCGACCCTGTACAAGATAGTCAAAGATTTTTGGTCATCAGAGGAAAGGGAAGTGTCTAGGAGTCAGTAATAAATAGATTCTAAAAGGTTCCAGATTGGTGGCAGTCTATTCAATATAGGAAAAGATGCAGGTGTGATGAAATTTCTCCAAATAGAATATTAATCTTCAGGTAGAACGGTTTTTAAGAATCTTCTCCATAAAGAAGTAGGCAGAGTTCACAGTAGAAGATTCCTCTATCACAAGAACATGATGTGGCAGCAGCCACGCCAGCCCTGAATACTTTGGCTTCTTTGAAATGCTACCCTGTCTGAAGGATTCCTGAGTGAGAAAGTCAGTGCCTCTTCTTCTATTAGTAAGTCAAGTTTGAAATTAATGTTTGAATGCTAGATAAAATCCGAACCTTTTTCAAAACTGACAGAGTTAAACCAAAATAAGTCTATGAGACTGTAATGTGTCTGGGTTGGTCCATTTCTTTCATATTTGTGGCTGGTCTGTGTTCCTATCTTCTTTCCTAAGATTATAAAACTGACCGATAATTGTTCTTGCTAGATACCATCGAGTTGCTTCTGCCTCACAGCAATCCTACGCACAACAGAATGAGACACTGCACCATCCTCACAATTGTTGTGCTAAAGCTCATTGCTGTTGCCATTGTGACAATTCTTCTCCTTAGGGATCCTCCTCTTTTTACATATCCTCCACTTTAACAAGTATGATGTCTTTCTTCAGGGATTGATGTCCCTTGATAATATGTCCAAAGTATGAGACCTGAAGCCTCACCATCCTTGCTTCTAAGGAGAATTCTGACTGTACTTCTTTCGACACAGATGTTTTATTGTTGCAGTGCATGGTACTTTTAGTATTTTTCTCTAACACCATAACTCAAATGCAAAAGCCTTTTACGGACTTCCCATACATATGACCTGATTGAAAATACCATGGTTTGGGTCAAGCGCATCTTAGTTACTTAAATTTGTCTTGTTGTTCTTGAACACTTTAAACAGGTCTTGTTCAGCAGATTTGCCTAATCCAATGTTGTTGTTGTTGTTGTTGTTGTCAGGTGCCATCGAGTCGGAACTGACTCATAGCAACCCCATGTACAGCAGAAGGAAACAATGTCCAATCCTGGGCCAACCTCACTACCACTGCCACACTTGACGCCATCAATGATGCCTCCTGGCCTAATCCAATACTTCATTTAATTTCTTGATTGCTGTTTCCATGAGTTTTGACTGTGTATCCAAGCAAAATGAAGTCTATGACAACTCCAATCTTTTCTCCATTTATCACAATGGTATTGATTGATACAGTGGTGACAACTTTTGTTTTCTTTACATTGATGTGCAACCTATACTAAAGGCTGTGGTCTTTAATCTTCATCAATAAGTATTTTAAGTCCTTTCAATTTCAGCAAGCAGGGTTGTATCATCTGCATATCAGAGGTTGTTATGAGTCTTCCTTCAATTCTATGCCAATTCTTCTTCATTAAATCCAACTTCTCAGATTATATGCTCAGTTAAAGATTGAAAAAAACATGATGAAAGAAAACCACCATGGTACCCCCTTTCCTGATTTAAAAATGATTAGTATGTCCTTGGTTCTGTTTAAACAATTGCCTCTTGGAATACATAGAGGTTCTTCATAGGCACAATTTAATCTTCTGGAATGCCCATTCTTCTCAATGCTATCTGTAGTTTGTTATGATCCACACAATCAAAAACCTTTCTATATTCAATATAGGACATGTAAACATCTTTCAGTTATTCTCTGCTTCCAGCCAAGATACATCTGACATCAGCAATGATATCCCTATTTCCACATCCTCTTCTGAATCTGGTTTGAATTTCTGGGAGCTCCCTGTCGATGAACTGTTGCAGGTGATTTTAAATGATCTTCAGCAAAATTTTACTTGCATGCAATGTTAAGGCTATTGTTGGATGATTTCCACAACATTATGAGATCCTTTCTTTGGAATGGGCACACATATGGATCTTTTACAATGGTTGGTCAGATAGCTGTCTTCTAAATTTCTTGTCAAAGATAAGTGAACACCTGCAGTGCTTCATAATTTGATGAAAAATTTCAATTTGTCTTCCATCAATTCCTGAAATCTTGTCTTTTAGCCATTGCCTTCAGTGCAGCTTGGACTTCTTCCTTCAGTAGCACTAGGTCTTGATCATTTTTTACCTCAT